ATTAAGATTGGTATTACTTAATATTGTTAAGTTTAGTTCAGTATTATTAAGATGGGTATTGTTTAATATTGTCAAGTTTAGTTTAGTATTATTAAGATTGGTATTGTTTAGTATTGTTAAGTTTAGCTTAGTATTATTAAGATTGGTATTATTTAGTATTGTTAAGATTAGTTCAGTATTATTAAGATGGGTATTGTTTAGTATTGTCAAGTTTAGTTTAGTATTATTAAAATTGGTATTGTTTAGTATTGTTAAGTTTAATTTAGTATTATTAAGTTTAGTTATTATTAAGTTTAATTTAGTATTATTAAGTTCAGTTTAGTATTATTAAGATTGGTATTGTTTAGTACTGTCAAGTTTAATTTAGTATTAGAAAAATTAAAATTGGTATTGTTTAATATTGTCAAGTTTAGCTTAGTATTATTAAGATTGGTATTGTTTAGTATTGTTAAGTTTAGCTTAGTATTATTAAAATTTGTATTATTTAGTATTGTTAAGTTTAGCTTAGCATTATTAAGATTGGTATTGTTTAGTATTGTTAAGTTTAGCTTAGTATTATTAAGATTGGTATTGTTTAGTATTGTTAAGTTTAGTTCAGTATTATTAAGATTGGTATCGTTTAAAATTGTTAAATTTAGTTTAGTATCATTAAGATTGGCATCGTTTAATATTGTTAGTTTAGTTTAGTATTGCTAGGAATTTTAAGATGTTTTTTATATTATAGATTTTTTTTTATATATAACTTGGTATCATTGGATATTCGAAGCAGTAAGAATTTAAGTTTCACGTTGTTCGATTCTGGAATTTTTTTATGCAATTTAATTTTATTGCTAATCCCTGTCAGAAAATACAATCAAATGTTTCAAATTCTTGTAACATAATCATCCATGATATCTTGAAAGTAGTTTTTTAGGTTTCATTAAGATTGTGGTATTTATTTTAGTTTTATTAATTTCGTGGTAGACACTATTAAGATCTAGAGAGGATTAAAAGTTTAGGCTGTCATAATAGAATTTCCACATGGTTATACGTCATGGCCAATAACAACAACAACAATAACAACAACAACAACAACAATAAAAATAATAATAATATATATTATAGTTAGTATTAGAGTTATAAAATAATTTTTAAACTTCGCTATATACATTCTATTAAGATTTAATTTTATCTTTCATTAAAATCAAAAAAGAACTGAAAGTTGATACTTGATATTATCGATGTCATAATAGAATTTCTGCAGTTGACCGAACATCGTTCTACCTTATAATCCAATTGATTGAACATCGTCTACCTTATAAATTAAAGAGGCTGTCAATCTGACAGCGAACAAATTTGTTTCCTCTGTGTTCTGACATATCTCTGACCTCTTAACTGAATTACGATTATTACCGATAACGGAATAATCCACGTAGTAATCTATTTTCTATTGTTCTTGCGCACGTCGTAACGCACGTAACGCTACGCCTCGTAACCCCGTGTCGTGTACTTCTTTATTTGATTAATTGATTTCTGCAGCAGCTGTTCCGATAAACATCGGAGTACTTCATAGTACACACAGTGTGCACGTATGATATATCTCGGTTTATCTCAGTCGGACATTCGATTCGCATCGAAAAGCCATTTCATTCTTTGGCTAGCTCACTTCCATTTTCCACTATTATCATTTTGTATCGCGAGTGTTTTGTTTTTCGGAATTTTGGTAATTTTAGAATCTCATAGCTTCGGAACTTTGGAATTTTGTAATTTCAGAGTTCTAGAGATCTCGAATTTTAGAAATTATTCTGAAATTTTATATTTATGTACATTCGATGCATTCGCAAAATATTTAATAACAATATAAAAAAAATGTAAAAATAATATAATAATCTATTATACTTAATGATATAAAAATAATATAATCGAATTTTGCAATTTCGGAATTTTAGAATTTGCCTTATAGTTCTATATACACAAAAGTATTTTAAGTGTCGAAAAATATTCTCTCGTGATACGAGTTCGCAGTACTTTGTCTGATAGTGTACGTCCATTTTTACTTATAATATATATCCTACGGCGTATACGACTGTGCACGTACGGTTCGTACTACTTAAAAATTACGTGCTACGTACTAATTCAAAATTACGTTTCAGCTCTCTCATTACCAATTTTTTCTGACCATCGTTGTCATCAATACAATAGAACAACAAACAAATTTATTACATAATTAATCAACCACCATTTAATAACTTTATATATACAACTATAATATATAATATTCCCTATATATAATGAAATATTCCCATTTGAAAAAAAGAACTCTTCACCTTCTGACAATTTCTGATACACTTGTAAAACCATACTTTCCTCAATTAACAACGTCAAATATTTATTACTATTGCAACAACTGTTTCCCTGACAGCAAAGGGATAACGAGCCCATTGAAATAAATTAATCCGGCGAGAGCGAATAAAAACGTACGAGTAAGTAGATAATTAGAAGCATAATTGTCAGCAAGCGGAGGAAGCACGGCGTGCATTAAGCCGCAATTAGTATGCTTCTCGACAACACTGTCCTCGTTCCAGTATCACTTGCCTCATTATGCAGCGGTCCGTTAATTAAAATCCAACTCTGCGAATCTTTTTTTTCTTTTTTCTTCAAGCGGTTCTTCAATTTCCTTCCGTTTGCAAAGCGAGCTTGCTTCCTCCTTTACATAGTTTCCCCTCCCCCTCACCGCCTCCCTTCCTCCCGCTGTGAAAACGATTCTTTTCCACGGTCGACGAGGTACACGCACGCGTTCAGCTTCTTGCACGACACACATCGGGTGGTAATTGATTGCGTTGCGTTTTTTTTTATAAATCCAGGTTAATGACAACTCGATGCCACGATATCGAAATTGGCGCGAGTTTTATTTTCAAACGTCACCGGTGGCTTGATTTTAGAAAATTTAGAGAGTTCTTCGTGGAAGAAAGTTTCAAGGAGCAGAATTTTCAATTTTGAATCGCAGGTGAATGTAGTATTAAAGTCAAATTAGAAGTTAAGTCAAGGACGGTTGAAGTTTTTGGAGTTAAATCGGATTGCTTCATTCGTTAGGGTTGAATTTACCTTTCGCAGTTGCTGAATTCTTTTCTTTTTTAAAGCAGAGTGATAATTTCTTCGATAATTTCTACAATTAGATTGCGTAGTTTTAATTCAATCGTTGAAAACAAATTTGATTAAAATGGAATAATTTAAGACTGAATTTCTTTGTTTAATTAAGTAAGGAGATTTTCACGAATAATATTCTACAAGTATGTCAAGCTTTTCTGAATCGAGGGTTATAAAAATCAAGGGGTTAATACATTCAGACAATAGACGTATATATTTATAATTCATAATTTATTACTTATAACTTATAATTTATCAGTTATAAATTATAATTTATAATTTATAATTTATAATTTAATTTAATTTTTTAATTTATATATTTATAATTTATAATTTATAATTTATAATATTTACATAATTTATAATTTATAATTAATAATTTATAATATTTACATAATTTATAATTTATAATTAATAATTTATATTAATTTAATTTAATTTTTTAATATTTAATTTAATTTTTTAATTTATATATTTATAATTAATAATTCATCACTTAATTTTTTAATTTACATATTTATAATTTATAATTAATAATTTATAATATTTATAATTTATAATTAATAATTTGTAATATTTATAATTTATAATTAATAATTTGTAATATTTATAATTTATAATTAATAATTTATAATATTTACAATTTGTGATTAATAATTTACAATATTTACAATTTATACATTTATAATTTATAATCAGGTAAATTCGTGACAGAAATCTTTGTCAAAATTCTGCTATCCTCCGCTATGTTCGAGAAATAAGTGGCGTATCGCAAATCTGTTAATCATTCTTCTACCAAAACACTCAAAACATTCGTCTACATATCATCACTATCGCAAAAGTTGTTTATTTCCGTCACTTTCACTATCCCTGTCCCAACCATCAAGGACGATCTCGTAATTTTCTCGGTAATCCATTTTCACTCTTAGATACATGAAGAGAAATCGTGCGTAAAGTATGCGTAACATCTCGAAACGAAGTACGAAGAATTATGCGTGCTTAATACGTTTCGAGATAGTCTACATTAAGTTGACGAGCTCTAAGAAACTTTTACCCCCCCCCCCCGCCCTCCACCCTTTATTTCTCATACACGTAGAGATGATCTTTAGGATAATTTACATGTGGCTAGGTTGTTCGTGTTGTTTGTTCTGCGTGTGGCTGTACGACAAGTAGAAAGTAAAGAATCGTTTTTAACACAGCTAACAGGCCGGATGTGTTCCTTGTACGATGGAATGAATTATCGATGGTCTTTAAAAGCGTTGAAATCTTCGTGAAAGCACATACAGATCGTAAGTGTGCTAATGAGGAGCATTGTTTTTCTGGATTTAAATTGCCTCGAATAATTATCTCGAGAGGAGAATACGTTGTTCTTGTAAAGAAATTTGCAAGACTGTACTCTTCGTTATATGTAATTCAAACGATGACAGATCAATCACACGTGCTAATTTATTTTAAGATCATTTCACTTTGAAATAAAAGTCAACTCTTATATTTTGTAAGAAATAATAAATAGTAATAAATAATAATAAATAATTAAATAATATTTTGTAAGAAATAACAAATAGTAATAAATAATAATAAATAATAATTATAATCAGTGATAAATAATAATAAATAATAATTATAATCAGTAATAAATAATAATAAATAATAATTATAATCACAGTAAATTAACAGTAATCTTATCTCAAAATCGAAGTCAATTTTTTAAATAATTTCACGAGCAAAATAATTATAAATAATTATATTATTATTATAAATGATTGTAATAATAAATAAACTATAATAATGAAAAAAAAAAAAGAAATCGAATGTAACACCGAAAAACTGAAAGTTACTAGCCAAGAATTAGAAAGAAAATACGAAAACTGTACCTTTATTGCGAAGATACGATGTCTGTTTGGATAATGGACGATTCCACTTGGACTAGAGTCAGTTTGCACTCCTTCTGAAACAAGAGACAGAGGTTATGTCAGTATCTCGTAAATATTCCTCGTCGTGAGAACGAGAGCTAAGTGACTATATTTTTCTGACTCAGAAATCTTGGCGATAGTTGGCGAGCCTTGTTTAAACGAGAACAAAGTGCGAGCCTCTCTCGAGAGATTATTTTTAGCTGGACGTAATCGCGATGATTTAAAGGGGAATCACTACGATTTCGAGATTTGCATATTTATGTTATTCGCGTAGGATCGTTGGTACATAATATTTATCGAGTTTCCGTTATTCGTTAGCATTTACAATGTGCTGATGTTTGAAATGTCAAAATTTCTTGAGAGTGTTTTTTTTTCTCCCGACGCGATTTTTATTTTTACTTGTCAATAGTATTATGGTCGAGTTATTATAACGTGTTGAAACTTCAAAATTGACCAATCTTTGATATATATACATAGAAAACTTGTGAAGTAGAATTTATATATATTTTATTAAAGGAATAAAAATTTATAAAGGAAAATACAACAGATTTACAGATTTACAATGAAATTAAATCAAATTTACGTAGGTAAATGATAAATCATCAATTTTATAAACTCGTGACAATTTCGTAGAGTTGTGTGATAATTTTAGAAACTTACAATAGTGTGTTATTGAGAATCCAAAAAATAGAATATACAATGCAAAGATAATATACAAATGAGATGTTACATTTCAGTCATTCAGATCCTTTATATTATTATTATTATATAAAATATAATATATTGAAATAAAGTACATAACGATACAAATATTAATATTAAATAATAATAAAATAATAATAAAATAATAATAAAATAAATATTAAATAATAATAAAATAATAATAAAATAAATATTAAATAATAATAAATAATAATAAAATAATATAAAGGACTTTCACGAAGACACAGACGAGATAAAAGTTTAAGCGATAAATCTACTAATATTATAATATATTTATATATATTCAATATTTAATATTTAATTATTTAGATATATTCAATATTTAGTATTTAATATATTTAGATATATCCAATATTTAATATTTAATATATTTATTAATATATGTTTAATATTTAATATTTAACATTTAATATATATATATTTAATATATTTATTGCCAAAGAAGGATAAATCAAATTCTCAATTTTCTTTCAAAGATTCATCCCATGTGGAATTATATAAGGTAGCTATGAAATCAATCGACATTCACCAGGAAGCATTTGGCTCTAGTTGATATTTGTAACGACTCCTTTCTCCACTTGATGAAATTACAGATTCATCCGACGCTTCATTGAAATCCATGTCATTAAAAATTGTGAACCTCGTTTGATACTTTCATTCGCCGGGAAAGGTGTTCCGAAAGTGGTAACCTCGGGCCCATCCAATCACCTGCGAAAGTTGTTTCAAACACCGCGTGTTAAAATAGTGCAAAATATAAATGTCGAAAGTAGCTTCCTTCCTTATATAATGTTTCGACATTAGAACGTCAGCGGATCCATTTGAACAAATTTCTTTGATTAAATCTCTTCAATTTTTCACGAGGAAATAGAGAAGATGTTGTACGTCATAAAAATGTAATATTCTTTAGATTAGATCTAACTAAGAATAACATTAATAATTCTAATTACATTAGATTCTACTAAGAATAACATTAATAATTCTAATTACGTTAGATTCTACTAAGAATAACATTAATAATTCTAATTACGTTAGATCCTTTAAATGTTAAACTCTTTTCGTAAAATCTGTTCGTCGATCAACGATGTATGAATCTGTGTATGTGCTGTTTCATTATCCTTGGGTAAACTTCTACTCTATCAATCCAAAATTTTTATTTCTCGACAGGATAAAAATTTCTTTCAGCTATTCAACTGGTCTTCTAATCAAAATTTTATAAAATATCGAAATATTTTTTTTTTTCTCAATTCTTTGCAACACCTTCCAAAATGCACACCTTTGCAACACCTTTCTCTGAATTTGATACACAACCATCCGATTTTTATGATTCAAATAATAAATCATTTGTCATTTCAATGAGAATCAAACTTAATATCGAAAATATCAACTTGATTGACTTAGTATCAAAAATATAATACTGGAGAATTGATTAACGATAATTTAAGACTCGGGTCAATTAAAAATCGTGTGAGAAGATTTAGCGTGGGAAAAGAGAGATACGCTAGTTTTAGTTATACGATGTTGATCATAGTTCTTTTGATTTTACACATATTTCTGTCTCGTTAGAATTTATACCGCTGTTATGTACTACGTCGATGAATTTAGTAATACATCCGCTTTCTCCGTCGTAATGTATCAATTTGTGCATTCAATAAATCTTATTGTAAGACGACCAGTTAACAAGAATTTCGTTGTCTTCAAATAAACTTATATTTCGACAAGATTTTAAGATTAATCCTGTCAGTTTAGATATTAAATTGATACGCATGAAATTTCACTTTGTTTTTAAATACAATTTCTCCGTATGACACGTGTAATTTAAATAATCCCTGCGTGATTATTAATGCAATTTTCCAACAGTCAAACAATTTCATTCGAGAATTAAAAGAGTTATTTCTTTTTTTTTTTTTAAATCAGGAGATTCTTCTAGGTCAGGAATTCTTCTAGACAATCTCTTCGCTTAGAATTCTGAAATGATGTAGGCGTCAGAAAGTCGCGTAGGTGGAATCCAGGACGTTTTTCATCGTTAATCTCCTTTAAGTGTTGAATCTATGTTTCCAGAAACTTTCATTTCATGCTGTTTATATTTCAAACACCGACTGCACACATGACGATTATTATAACGAGACTTTTTTTATTAGAAATCTTGTTAATATTTAACAAAATTCAATGACGCTGATCATTTTCTTTAACTGGGACTGATTGGGGATAGAATAAGATATAATTGATATTAACGCGTTGGAGGAAAATAAGTAAGTATTTTCGTATTCCACGTCTCTCGTTTCAAAATATCTTCCCGACATCCTGTGTTTTATACTGTAATTCCAATATTTTATACTATACTATACTATATACCATATAGTTTATACTATAATTTCAATATTTGTACACGTATTTTAAGACAGAAAGTAAATATCATACTAAATTTCCACGAAAAAATTGCGCACACAGACAGAAAATAAATATCATACTAAATTTCTACGAAAAAATTCTCTTGTCGTTGATTCCAGTGTTTTGAACAAACAAAAGTAGAAAACAAATGGTATGTGAGAAATAAATTTCTTTTCTAAAGAAACATAAATAATAAATCTCGATAAACGAATGATCGCAGGTTTGGCCATTTTAATCTCTCTGATAATTCTGGGAAATAATAATAATAATAATATCCAAAATAATAATAATAGCAACATCCAGAAATAGAAAAATAGAAAAATTCGAGACGAAAGAGAAAATTAAAAAAAAAAAAAAATATATATCGCCGACGAATCCAAATTCTCTGCTCGAAGTGAAGTACATACGGGAAGTTTCGTTGGTCGGTATGCGCATTTTCGCATAGGAACGATTCGTTTCGTAGTAGCTCTGATTTCTCAGGCAGGTGGCATCGAAATAAAACAGGTTGAAGGCAAGTGCTCGGTCTCGCCATTGTCGTGTCGAACAGTCTCTCTCCCGGAGACATGCACCACGTTTACCCTTGCACGCCTTATTACGTCTTTATCACGACTCGATCCTTGATGTTGCATTACTTCGGCCTGATTGCTTACTACCTGTAATCCGATTGCTTCGGCGGAAAGCCTCGGCCGTAAATCGACACTCTCTTTGCATCGTTCGCAATTGCCCCGTGGTAATCGTTTACGATGAACACGAGTCGTAGATAAGCGTGCGCGAGCGTCTGAAACGGATCATTGGAATACGAGCCGCGGCATTAACGGCGCAAGTAAGTTAAATCGATTGATCAAGACTACGGTGGATTTTGCAGGTTTTTCGAAAGCTTTGATGACACACGAAACGAGATCCCCCTCAAAACGACGAATTTTAGATTAGTTATTTTTAATGGAAACTAAGATCACTACGTTATGGAGTATTTAGGATTATTTACTGGGATATTTGTTAGTCGAGCGTGTAAAATAAATTGCAACGGATAACGATTGAAAGATTCAAAATTTCAATTCAAATTAAATTTTAATCTGAGTTTGTTTAAAAATTGTATTATTACATTTATCTATTTTTAGAAATAAATATAATTATATTGCATATTACATTTTATATACAACTATATTATTATATTTATTTAAAATTGTTATGCTATTATGTTCGGTATTAATATTTTATATTTGAGATATTTAGTATTCCAAATAATTATATTTCCTTTATTATAACAATTATATTTTTGATATTGGAATCAATATCAATTGTGTTATTATATTTATCTATTTTTAGAATTAAATATAATTATATTGTACATCACATTTTATATACAACTATATTATTATATTTATTTAAAATTGTTATGCTATTATGTTCAGTATTAATATTTTATATTTGGGATATTTAATATTCCAAATAATTATATATTTCCTTTGTTATAACAATTATAGTTTTGATATTGGAGTCAATATCAATTGTATTATTCTATTCTATGTTTATAAATAAATAAAATTATACATTTTATATATTATTATATTTATTTAAAATTGTTATGCTATTATGTTCAGTATTAATATATTTGAGATATTTAATATTCCAAATAATTATATTTCCTTTATTATAACAATTACATTTTTGATATTGGAATCAATATCAATTGTATTATTATATTCATCTATATTTACAAATAAATGAAATTATATTGTATATTACATTTTATATAGAAGTATATTATTATATTTATTTAAAATTGTTATGCTATTATGTTCAGTATTAATATTTTATATTTGAGATATTTAGTATTCCATAATTATATTTCTTTTATTATAACAATTATATTCTTGATATTGGAATCAATATCAATTGTATTATTATATTTATCTATTTTTAGA